TAGGGTTCACGCGTGCTAGTGCGAACATGTTCCACATTTTAATGCCTGCCCGATCCTACCCGATCCCTTCTGGTCCGTCTGCTCGATCCGGCGGGCGGGCAGGAGCGGGCAGGTAGGCCCCTATAGCCTATAGGGGGTAGGACTAGGGGTAGGCTATCTCGTCTTAGGGGTGGCGGTAGGCTTCTCTTAGGGGTAGGCCTAGGGGGTAGGCCTAGGGTAGGCCTAGGGGGTAGGCCTAGGGCAGGCCTAGGGGGTAGGGTAGGGGGTAGGCCTAGGGTAGACCTAGGGGGTAGGCCTACGGGGCAGGCCTAGGGGGTAGGGTAGGGGGTAGGCCTAGGGTAGGCCTAGGGGGTAGGCCTAGGGGTAAGCCTAGGGTAGGCCTACCCTCCGGGCTCTATATGCTTAGGTCTACCTTAGGTCATTGGGTAAGGCCTACCCTAGGTCTACCCTAGGGCCTTGGGTAAGGCCTACCCTAGGCCACCCTAGGGCCTTGGGTAGGGCCTAGGGTAGACTACCCTAGGGCCTTGGGTAGGGCCTACCCTAGGCTACCCTAGGCCCTTGGGTAGGGCCTAGGGTAGGCTACCCCCCCTGGGTTCTATACCGTGACACCAAGGCTCCCAATAGCGAGCGTCAACGTAAGCATCTCTGAACACCAAGGCTCCCAACAGAGAGCGGTGACGTAATAAGCTCTTCGCACCAAGGCTCCCAATAGCGAACGGTGACGTGACAAACTCGTGCACACCAAGGCTCCCAAGAGCGAACGGTGACGTACACAACTCTCAACACCAAGGTTCCCAAGAGCGAGCGGCAACGGAAAAGTCTTTGAACACCAAGGCTCCCAAGAGCGAGCGGTTACGTCACATTTTTCTTATCACCAAGGCTCCCAAGAGCGAAGGGTGCCATGAGCCCTCTCGGGCAGGTTGCTGCAGCGCTCTTTCCGTTCCCGTGCCGGCCCAGGTAACGGAAAGAGCGAGGTACGAGTGATGACGTTGAGTTGGGGCGAAGCCCCTAACGGATGCAAAAGTCTAATGGCCGTTTTCGGGTTTTCCCTAGGGTTTCTGCATGTTTTCCGGGTTCCTCCCCAAGACGGCCCAAGAGCGTTCCCAGAGAGCCCAAGACCGCCCAAGACGGCCGAAGATGCCCCCAAGGGGCCCCCAAGAGGCGCCCAAGGGGCGTCCCAAGACTGCCCCAAGAGGCTCAAATCATTGATTTCCCGTTGGAAAGCGTACATTTTTCGCATATGCGGCTTTTCGGCTTTCACGGCGTTGACGACGGCCCAAGAGGCCCCCAAGACCGCCCCAAGACTGCCCCAGAAGCTCCCAAGAGGCCCCCGAAACAGCCCAGGAGGGCTCCCAGACGGCCCAAGACGCGACCAAGACGGCCCAAGAGGGCCCCAAGACGACCCCAAGAGGGGGACTACGAACTGAAAAGTCTAGCCTTTCGCCCCAAGACGCTCCCAGGAGGCCCCCAGAGCCCCCCAAGATGCCCCAAGATGCTCCCAAAAAGATTCCAAAAGGGCCCCAATAGGACTCCCACGAAGGCCCAGAGACGCCAAATAAATAGCGATCGGTAACGCAAAGAGCGAACGGTGACGTACTCAAGCTGATAAGACCAAGGCTCCCAGCAGAGAGCGGTGACGTAACAAGTTTCTGACACCAAGGCCCAACCAAGGCTCAGGAACGGGCGGCAACGCAACAATCTCTGAACATCAAGGCTCCCAAGAGCGAGGGGTGACGTAACAAGCTCTCAATGCCAAGGCTCCCCGTACGAACGGTGGTGTGCGTAATTTCGGTTTCTGTTGCTGCAGCGCTCTTTCCGTTTCCGTGCTGGCCCAGGTCAAATGGCCGAAAGTTTTGCCATGTTCGGCCCAAGACGGCCCAAGTCAGCCCCAAAGAATTCCAAAAAGGCCCCCAAGACAGCCCAAGGCAACCCTAAAAGCGCCCAAGATATTTCCAGGACGGCGTCAGAGAGCTCCAAGAGGGCCCGAAGTCGGGTCAAGAGCGATCAAAGAGGACCCCATATGGTTTCAAGGCAGCCCAAGAGGCCCCCAAGTCGCTCCAAGAGGCCCCCAACAGGGACCCCCACGAGGCACAAATAGTCCAATTCCTTCAGGGCAGCGTGCATTTCTAGCAGATTCGCGTCGTTGGTTTTCACAGCTTCCACAACGGCCTAGGAGGCCCCCAAGACCGCCCCAATACGGCTCCAGAGATCCCCAAGACGCCCCAAGTGGGCTCCGAAGGCATTGTGGCCCCAGGCAGTCGGGCTCAAGCCAACGGTCTCTCCGCCCATCAGCGTTTCCTTCTGTTTGCGGCGGCGAACCAGGCAATGACAAACACGTGCGGGAAGGAATTCCAACCCCCGGCTCGGGTGGGCACCGACACGGGCTTGACGGGCGCCGACGTCGCGCGCCACGCCACCGACGGGGCCGAGCCGGCGAATGAGGAGGAGGAGGTGGAGGACCAAGGCTCGGGTACGTTCGAGGAGGTGGAGGACCAGGGCCGCCACCGCATGCCACGCGGCCGAGAGCGGCAGAACCGCACCCCTTCCCCGATGGTGAGGGCCAACGTCGACCGCACTCCCGACCCGATCTTGACAGAGTTCGGCGACGGCTGGGAAACCAGGGCCATGCGCCAAAGGCGGGCGCAGATCACCAGCCGCGTCCGAAGGTTGGTGCGCGCCGAGCAGGACCGCACCGTCAGCATGCTGGAGCGCCGCCTCTGCGGGCTCGCCTTCAAGAACCTCTGC